CAAGCCGGGGGGGGAGGGGGGCGGGGTGCGCGGGAGCAGATCACTCTGGCACCCGCCCCCCCCAGCAGTCTCTAATGTTGCAGTAGCGTGCTGGACTTAACTGAGACCCTACAAAGGCTCAGCGGGGTCCCAGGTGGGCTGGTCTGGTTGCCGGGGTCCCTTTCCCTGCACCTCCTCCCAACTCTTTTTACCTGCTGCTGCTGGGGCCCGGCCTCCTCCACCCCCTTCCTTGTCATCTCTGCCATGCTGCCCCGGTCCAGGCGGTGGAATGTGTGACTGCAAATAGGTGAAGCATTCCAGCGCTTTCCCAGCTGTTCCAGGGCAGATCGGCATCGCAAATCGCATGTGCAGGAGAACCGATCTGTCCTGGAACTGCTGATCGGTCCTGAAATGTCACTTTGTGAGTGCTGTGGAATGTGAGATCGCAGTCAGAGAGAAGTGACATTTCAGGACCGAACAGCTGTTCCAGGATAGATCGGTTCTCCTGCACATGCGACTTGCGATGCCGACCTGCCCTGGAACAGTGGAGAAAGCGTTGGAATGCTTCACCTATTCCACCGCCTAAAAACTGGGCGAGATTACGTTAAAATGTGTGACCACGTCACTGGTCACACATTCTAACGTAGTCTCAAACTTTGATAGAACAGAAGCCTGTCTGTAATCATTTAATCAGAGAAATAGATTATAATAGAGAACATTACAGTGTAATATTTCCCATTATAATCCATTTGTCTAATTACATGAAATAGCAGTACACAACAGAGAAATAGATTAAAATAGGGAACATTACAGTGTAATATTCCCCATTATAATCCACTCTTCTAATTACATGAAGTAAGAGCCCCCCTCCCCCCCTTCCCCCGCTCGGACTCACCCTGCCAGGATAGCAGCAGCCATGTGTCGATGTGTGCACTGCAGGGGGCGGGACGTGTGACACACGCCTCCTGTGACTCACCTCCCCTCCCGCCGCCTGTTACTATGGACGTGGCCGGGAGGGGAGGCGAGTCACAGGACCCGCCCCCTCACTGAGAAGCCCGTCGGCAGTGCGGGCCCCGGTGTTCTAAAACCGGGACCCTGCACTGCCCCATATTGCAGGACCGGACCCCACTGAGGCTGTGGGGGTGCCCAGGACCGGACCCCACTGGGCCCCCTCACAGCCTCAAGCCCTAGTTCGGCTGCACCTGCCGCACCGGCGGTAGTTCCGCCACTTCATGTAGACCCTTTTTTCAAGTAAGCGCAAATTACTATTTCCCCGAATATAAGAAAAATGTATTCAGGCACATAATAATTTGTTTGAGAATGCGTGGCGGCCATGTTGGCTACCGGTGCATTCTGCGAATGCATGCCACCATCTTGGAGGCGGGGAGCATCACGTCACATGATGCCATGCATGCGTGGCATCCGGTGAAGTCGCACACCGATATAGGCGACGCCATCTTGGTGTATTCCTAGATATACACGAAGATGGGGGTGCCCAACATGCGTGGTGTCATAGGACGTCACGTGCCCTGCTTTTTTTTTACTGTTGGGGAGGCTTTGGGGAAACATCTGGGGTCTAAACAGACCCCTGACATTTACCTTTTTAAAATAGAAAAATACATCTTTTTCTGCAGCCTCTGTTCTAAATGAATGGGTATTACCACTCAGTACAGAGGCTTTCCATTTAGTCAGAAACTGATGATAGCAAATATTTTACTATCACCAGTTTATGAATGGGGAGAAGCCTCTATAGTGAGTGCTACTACCCATTCAGAAATTCATGAATGAACAGGAAGTGATGTAAATCACATCCTGTTCATTCATAACTGGGGACACATTGTACTATGTAAAACAGCAGAAAGGCATCATGGCACACTCACAAAACCAGCATGTAAAACAATTTGATATCTTCTGCCCCCATGTGCTCCAAGATGGAGACTCTCATAGTTTAGAGTTAGGACCGCACTATAAGAGGTGCCTTGGCGCGGCAGTGCGGCTTACACATCCTCAGCAGAAGACGTGTATCCAAACCTCTGTCATTATCCTTAGTGGTGAGACATGTTGTTTTACATGCTGGTTTTGTGAGTGTGCCATGATGCCTTTCTGCTGTTTTACTGTTCAAAGCCCATTTCGTGTGCACCTTACTGTATAACTGGTAACAAATTGTTGAGTGCGTTTGTTGTTTGTTTTGCTTGACATTGTACTATGTGTCCCCAGTTATTTACAAACACTGGAGTGATCAGCTGATCACTCCAGTGTTTGTTCCGCACACACAGAGGACCGGTAAATATCACTGATACTTACCGAGACTTCGCTCAGCCACGCACAGAGCCGCTGTCATCCTGAAACTGACAGGATGACAGCAGCTCCGGTTTTCTCACCGCTCGGCCATCCTGAAAGCTGCGGCTTCTCCCCTCCTTACCGCTCGGCCATCCTTACAGCAGGCAGCGCTCCCTACTGCGCCCCCTCAGGCTTCAATGGACAATTTCTCCTTGGAACCCCGCTGCCTCAGCCCATACAGGCAGTGGGGTTGCGAGGACAGCGCTGAAAGGAGGGGCAGAGGAGGTAGCGCTGTCATGTTGGATGGCCGAGCGGTGAGCAGGAGAGAAGCCGCAGGCTGTAGCTGCCTCGAGTGAGGATGAGCTGTGTCGGCCGCCTGGCACCCTGTGCAGCCACACAGCTCGAATACCGTAGAGCAATCGGAAAACTACTATACATTGCTACTGTGACGAGACCAGACATAGCGCAGCAGTGGGCATACTTGCTGGAAAAGTCGCAGCACCCTGTCAGCCTGACTGGAACACAATACTTAAAAGGAACAATTCGATGAAGCTATGACTGCCAGCAGCGTCAAATCCAAATCTACCTGGACATGCGGATGCTGATTGGGCCAGAGACTGCACAGACCGCAAATCCACAAGTGGTTACTTTGGGGAAGGAACCATAAGTTGGTCCAGCCAAAAGCAGACAACTATTGCACTTTCCTCAACTGAAGCTGAATACACACATGTCAAGAAGCAATATGGATTCGCCAGCTTTTAATGGACATGGGCGTAGATATGTTAAACCCCATCCCAATTTTTGAAAATAACCAGGGACATATAAAGCTGACACAATCGGAAAGAGTCTACCCTGGAACCAAGCACATCGACATGAAGTATCATCTGCTTAGGGACACTCTGGAGCAAGCTATAAACATGCCCTATTGCTCAACAGAAATGACTGCGGATGCACTCACCAAGGCATTGCCAAATAATCGTTACAGTTTCCTTTGGGAGAAGCTAAACGTCACATAGCAATGCTAATGCTGTTGAGAAGGGGTGTTGGAAATGCAACAACATATACTGACATGCACTGATCTGTATTACTGACTGCAATATGTCTTTTGAGCTGTAGATGGCAGTATAGTGCAATGTTAGTCTCTCTATATGCATGCTTATCTATGATACACAGGAGGATGTTTTTCTATAGATATTTTCCTGCACAATCCTGTATTCACATGTAATGTCCTTCTAAGCAAGTAAAACTTAATTCAGCATTCCTCAAGATCTTAGTGCTTCATCTAAAAATATAACCAACAGATAGGATTTAAAAACAACATTTTCTGCCATGCACATGTCCACACTGTGTCAAACACTGGTATTTCTAACGCTTTATTCTGTGTCTTCAACTACAGACAAGAAAGCACTTTCATAAATATAGAATCAAGACAACCCACCACCATCATTATACAAGCCTAGTGGTAGGTTTCCTTCCTTGTTATTCTCCCATGTGTATGGCCATCATGTGTTACACACAACAGAAGAGGTATTACCTTTTGGAACTGTGCCATTTGGTAGTCTAGAAGAACGGTTTCTAAGGTTCCCTGCATCGCCTTCTCCCCTGCATAAGAAGAAAAGATAAAGATGGCCTGCAGGCAGATAGAAAACTCAAATTAATAATCATTAAAACATCAATACATTTTTTTTTCATACAAGCTGTGTAAATACCTGAACTTGACCTGGTATCAGCCACTTGTAGCCCCTGTACAGCAGGGCTGGAGGAGAAAGCAGAGTGACAGAAAAAATATATCTCATTACTCTACTGCTTCTCCTTTTACTGTCCAGCCACAGGCCAGGTTCGGTCCAGGATGACCTGAGCTCAGAGGAAGTGGGTCGAATGATGGTGGCCATCAAACTAAAGCTACCTTATGGCATAAAAAAAAAAGTACTGTGGGGAAAACTCTGGACTAAAGCTGAACATTGTAGCAATAGCTGTTTATATTATTTTATCCTTTAAAGGGCAATTCATTTTTTGGGGCGGCTGTCGTTCTGGTTTAAGCCATTGTGCTGTAGCACCATTGATGCTGAACAGATAATATCCAAATGCTAAAAAGTCCCCAATGTGCTGGACAACCCAGACTGAAGAGTTTTCCACTGAAACAGGAACATCTGTCTAATGTACAAAATGTACTAATTTAAACAAAATAAAATATGCAAGAAGAGCAATCACTGGGCAAAGTGGGCTCTTGTTTTATATGAATTATTAGCAGATATGCCAGTAATATATTTTCCAATATGCTGTTATGACGTGCTTTTTATGTAAAAACTAATATTCGGGGTCATTATATATGTTGTTTTCCTTTTAACTTGGATATAGCTCTCAACAGTGCATTTTTTATTTCCTTATTTCGCAAGCTGTAGATCATAGGGTTTAGAAGGGGAACAATAACAGAATAAAATACAGACACCACTTTGTCAACTGGGGAAGAATTCTTTGCTTTTGGACGTATATACATAAAGATAACTGTCCCAAAAAATATGCCAACAACAACAAGATGAGATGCACAAGTGGAAAATGCCTTTTGGCGTCCAAGAGAAGATGGTATCCTTAAGATAGTAGTGACCACTGAAATATAGGACATAAAAGTGAAGGTGAAGCATCCAAGAATAACAGTCCAAGCTACTGCAGAAAAGATTATTTCATTCAGCCAAGTGTCTGTACAGGACAACTGAAGTAGAGGACTGAAGTCACAGAAAAAGTGGTCTATTGTGTTTGGACCACAGAACACTAACCGTGTCATCATAACAGCAGGCAAAGAGATGGATAAGCAGCCAGCAAACCAAGATATAGCTGCAAGCTTTCCACAAATAGATCTACTCATTAGGGTGGTATAGCGTAGTGGGTAACAGATGGCCAAGAATCGATCATAGGCCATTACTGTCAATAGAAAATGTTGTGTGGCTCCAAGGAAGAACAAAAAGTAGAACTGGGAAATGCAGTCTCTGGCGGAGATAGTTTTGTTTCCCGTGCCTAAGTCTGTTAGCATCCGCGGGACAGTAACAGTTGTGTACCACATTTCGAGGAAAGAAAAATTTCCAATGAAAAAGTACATAGGCTTGTGAAGTGACCTCTGAGATGTCACCAGGGTGATAATAAGCAGGTTCGACAGTAAAGTCATAGAATAAATGATTAGAAAGAAGACAAATAAAAACAGCTGAGTGCTTCTATCAAGGGAGAAACCTGAGAGAATAAAACCTTTTACTAAAGTTTGGTTACCATGCATTTTGTACTCTTAGCATCTTGGACTTCTGTAATAATAAGACATAAATTAAGACATAAGTATAGCAAGAATAATTAAATAATTGTTATTTTTTTAATGTATTGTGACAGACTGCCTGATACCCCGACTGGATATCTCCATCTTAAGCCTGTTCCCTGGGTGCTGGAACCAGAAGCCAGTGACTGTGGCATGAGAGGCTGGGAAAAATGTGTTTCTTTATGTTTTTTCCTCATTTTTGTATATTTTATTCCGGTGTTAGGCACACGTGTTATTAATATATCTGCCCTGTAAAAAACAATATATAATATTTGTAGGTGCACTTAGAAAGTATATTACTGCCGTGGAAGAATTACACAGCAAAAATGTAAAAAGGTGTGTTAGTGTTCCTCAGGAAAGCAACTCTGAAGGGACTCCGACCCTTAGTGGAACTTGAACCCACGCCTCCAGGTAGGACTTACCACGTTAAGATTTCCCGGGATTTGATCGTGCTGCCAGCTTCAGAAAAGTACTTGGGAATAAAGAGTCTGTCAGGGACCAGAGCACCTCCTGGTGGCGCTAGAACCAGGTCCTGCAGTTCCTGTGCTTGCCTCCAGGTGTCTCCAGGCTGCCAGGAGCTGTCAGGTACCAGACAATCACTGGGTGGTGCTGGAATCTGCAATTTCGGTGCTCGCCTGCGGGTGTCTCCCAGCTGTCGGCAATTAGTCTCCACCTGGTGCGGGCTTGGGAGGGTATTTAGCCCCTTCTCACAGTGAGGCTGGTGTCGCCATAACCTGTATCCTGTTGCCTCCTTGGACCCTGACTCATGACTCCTTATCTGAGGCTACCCTCTTGTTGCCCTGCTCCCCAGGTTAACTTGCCCTGTTATACTTTGTGTGTGATTCTGCTGTTGCATTTAGTTTGGCTATTTTATGTTACTTGTGGGTTTTGGTGGGGTTGCTTGCGTTTATATGATTTAGGTATGTCTAATAAACTATAAGTTCATAGCTTTATTTGGTGTGGTCAAGTATTTGGTCCTCCTGTATAGATACCTGCACGCGGTGTGCGGCACCTGTGCATGGTATCGTGACAGAGTCACACCAAATTGTGTATTCACTCCATATTCAAAAGGTTTATTGTTAAAACAAAAGGTTATATGTGAAACTAAAAGGGGGATGGTGGAGCATAAACCAATAAAATTCAAGCATGTATACAAAACTACAAAAAACTAATCATGATAGTAAGGATCATGAGACAACCTTGGGGAGGAGGGGTGATTTGCTAAGTAAAGACACAGAGATAAGAGATACAATTTGCAAAGACTAACATTATAGAAACATCTCAAACTGGTTTCTGTAGAATATACTGAAAAACACAATTCTGCTTGCTCAGACATTAAAGGAGAACTATGAGGTGAGTGCTTTTCACTCACCTCATAGTTCTAGCCGACCTGTGACAATGAGACTGTCACAGGTCGGCTCAGTAGATCGGGAGGTGAGCGAACACATACCAGCGTTCGCTCACCTCTCGAGCCTGTCACAGCTCTCTGCCGTGACAGGGGGAGGGGCTGGTTTCCCCCCCATCCGCCAGCGCTGACTGGCGGAACGGACGGGGAGGGGGCGGGTACAGCTGGCTCTGCCTCTAGATAGGCAGAGCTGCAGCTCGCGGTATACTGAGCTTAGGGTGACGGGAGGACGCTAGTTTGTGTCCTCCCGTTACCCTAAGGAGAACTATGGGGAAAAGCCTTAACCCCATAGTTCTCCTTTAACTACTGTATGCATAACCCAGAAACAGGCAAATTAAATTAATCACCCTTTCAGGGCGTCAGTCATTAATGAACAGAAACTAAAAACAAGCTCTGTCATGAAGGGGTTAAGCAAAGCAATTTAGGTCACTTAACGACACTCTACTTATACCTGTCTTACTGTAATAGCAATATACAGTAAATGTGTGGGAAGTAACACTTTCATGTGATTTCCTCCAGACTTTAAAAATCTTTCAGGTAGCCATTTTTTTATATTTAGAAAAATATAATATAAATTATGAAAACAATATGTTTATTAGACAAGGTCTGGCAAAAACAGGAACCATCCGGTTTCTAATGGTGCCTGCCTGTCTTGCTTTTTTCTGAGTAGTTATGCTTTTGCCTTGTGATTTGATACTTTATCTGCTCACCTGTTGCCAAATATCCTACAATGCCTTTACTTTGCGATTTCATTTTTCATTTACTTATCTGTATGTTAGCTGTCACCAGTGAACAATCCCGATGTGTGAACCAGGTAGCTGCAACGCGGCCATGTTCCAACCTCTTTTCCAGGGGACAGTAGGAAGGACTGTGGAGTATGTACAATTTGCACCTTGGTGAGAACCTTCATCTACCACTAGTGTCAAAGAGGACCTACTGTTATTTATGACAGGCAAACAGGAGCCAGGCTGGCCATACATGGCTTTAAAGGAGAACTATGGGGTTAAGGATGTATCCGCCCAACTACGTGAGTGACAGCCGGCTCTGCCTATCTAGAGAGCCAGCTGTACCCGCCCCCTCCCCCGTCCGTTCCTCCAGTCAGCGCTGGCGGATCGGAGCGGGGGGAGTCCAGCCCCTCTCCTGTCGCGGCAGAGAGATGAGACAGGATCGAGCTACTCATTTTTGACAAGCCACTCATTAAAAACCAAGCCCCCCCTCCCACCGCCACTGCTATCGCTGCTTTGCTGCTCTCTCCTCCCCACTGGGAGCCAGCGGCATGCTGATATGTGTCCCTTCATATGCCCACTGCTCTCCCCACCTGTATCGGCCGAGGCCGTGGGGATCAGAGGGAAAACAGATCCGATCATTATGCCGGTGCCTAGCAGGGCGGTTTGAACAGCTCTCCAGTGATAGGTGGCGGAGCTTCAGGAAGCCAAGCAGAGGATCGGCAAATATGTGAAATATTTGTCGATTTTTCTCTTCACAACAAAACACTGAAGTGATTAGTACCGAGCACTCCAGCATTTGTGCGTAAGTGAGGAGATAGTAAGTGTTTACTGTCCCCAGTTATGAATGTACAGGAAGCACTACACATCACTTCCTGTTCATTCATTACTAGGGACACAGTAAACACTTACATTACATAGTTACATAGTATTTGAGGTTGAATAAAGACATAAGTCCATCAAGTCCAACCTAATGCGTGTATGCATTTATGTTTGAGCTGGTGTGTGCGTGTGTATGAGTCCATGTGTGATTTTGCTCTTAGCAGTACCTGTACCCCTGAATTTTATGGTCTCCAAGGAAATCGTCTAAGTGTTTCTTGAATGATTCCACACTCTTTGCTGAAATCACTGCCTGTGGCAGTGAGTTCTAGACCTTTAGCGCTCTAACTGAGAAGAACCCCATTTATAACTAGGTACATAGTAAACATACAGTATTATGCCGCCTCAGTTCATGAATGAACAGGAGGTGCTCTGTACAGAGCTCTTTCTGTTCATGGAGTGCTGGGACTGCAGAGAAGGAGATTGAGGCCTCAATCTCTTTTTTTTTTTATTTCAAAAGGGAAAGATCAGGTCTGTTAAGACCCCCGATATTTCCCCCATCACCCCAAGTAATGTAAAAAATAAATTAATTAAAAATAAAACAATGATAAATAAGAGTTGGGGAGAATTGTAACTCTATTTCTGCAGTGTACTGGAAGTGTGTAATGTGCACTATGGATCACTTAACTGTTAAATGATCCATAGTGCACAGCGTACACTTCCAGTACACTGCAGAAATAGAGTTACAATTCTCCCCTGGTTCCTACATATCTGTCCCACTTCCCCTAAATAAAATGGCTGGTGACCCCGCTTGCAGCTTTCACTACAGTGTGCTGAGAACATGCACCCAGCACAGGCCCCTCACCGCAGGAGTCCGTTCCCTGCTCTCTCACCTGGCTCTTAGGTAGTCCGCATTATGCGGGAGTGTCATGCCGGTCGTTCTTGTAACCATGCCTGGTGTTTCTGGTGGACTTGTGGGAGTCGGTTCTGTCAGGTCCCTATTTCGCTCACTGGCAGGCTGCTCAGAGAACACCAACAAGTGTGGTACCTCTGCGCAGCCTAAAGCTACAAAATTAAAACGCAGGTAACAGTGCTGTGTATCGGGGCTTTTTCACAAGTACTTGTGAAAAATTGCCTGTATTGGCCCCGAAACCGATACTAGTATCTTATAGGGACATCCCTAGTTAAAAGGTCTGCTGTAAGTAATTAAACTCGACAATTTTCTTAGCAATGTTCACGAAGCTGTTGGAATTTCCTCAATCATTAAAATCTTTTTGAATGAATGAGATAACAGATTTAGATATGAACTAAACTCTTGCTTTTAGGCTGGTGAGTGACTATGATGATTTTCTAGAATTAGTCCAAGCTTCCATGCAAAGTGGAGTTTAAAGCACAACTGGATGCAATCTGACAAACAATGTTCTAAGAAAATATATTCTGAAATATGCACTGGTTAAGCTTTTTTGCTTGAAGAGTCACAGTTTGTTCCAACACTGTCAACCAATATGAGGAAATAAATCAATCAATCAATCTGAATTATATGCTGTGACAGCAGCATCCACGTACCTTACTCAATATGATTGTTCTCTACCAATATATGTTTATTATAAGATTATATTCTTTTTTTAGGTGTCCCGGGGCCATTTATTGCTAACGGCCTATTATCCAGAGACAATTGACAGAACAAAAACAAAATTGCATAGGGCAAATAGATAATTAACTCAGGAAATATTGTGTCATTGTTTACAATTATATTGGTCCTAGGCACCAAGGTAAATCTTTGGTCCAAAATATGTTTCCAATAAAACGTAGGGGTATGGTAGTGATTTGGAATTTTTCATTGAAATTTCAATCCACTGGCTTTCTGCTATTTATAAAAAAACATAACATTGTAATTTCAGCATTGATATGAGCTTTGCCAAGTTTCGATACCAAATTTTTAGGGCCTTTCTGCCAACTGTAGAACACTCTTCATTGTGCTTATAAATAATAGCATTGTAGTTACAATGAGGAATAAC